GTATTGCCGCGGAAAATATCGCGATACTATGCTGTATCGATTTTTACTTTTCAGTACTGAACTCTTTATACTAACGTTTTCTTGCGTACAGACAATAGAAATGAACACATTATATCTGCCCTGACCTGGTGTTTGGTCCTCCAGACATGGTGTGGTTGGCAGTAGTTGCTCCCTTGTGGCCTTGATCACATCGACTCATCTGAGGTGCAGTCATAGGTCTATGAATTAAAAAATCAAATGATAACACAATAATAAATTATACATGACACAGGGAACATCTAGGACAGTATGTAATTACAGTAAAGGCTGTGTTCTGGGACTGACCGTGTCAATGCCTCCACGCTGTAGAGCAGAGCCTGCAGAGAAGTGGCCAGAGCAGCTATGGCAGCTATCTCATCCCTCGCTGCAGACACCGACTCCAGAGTCTGTGTGTTACCCTTCATCTTCTGCAGGTAACACGGAACTAAAGCCTCAAGAACCATCAGCATTTGCAAACTGACAAGAGAAATTTTGGAAATAGAATTTTCTCTTTTCAAAAAGAAAGAGTCCATTGTAGTCTAAAATACACTTTACAGCTTTTCAGATATGAACAGTCACTTGCCGATTTTGTAAATGTTTACAGAGAAAAACTGGTCATCATGCACTAAATAACTGAGGATCACACTACCAGACTTTAAAAGTGCCCCAACAAACTCACAGAAACATGTTTAATATCCTTTGACTGGATTGAATCATTAGCTAAAAACTAAAATCAGTAATCTAGATCTAAATCTAGGGTTGGGTATCGTTTGAATTTGATCGATTCCGATTCCGATTCTGCTTATCGATTCCGATTCTTATCGATTCCTAGTTTCGATTCCAATAAGATAAAAAATCCAATATATAATAAATTAAGTCAATCATTTAGATGTCAAACATTTATTCTGTCTTTTTACAAAGCATTCTGTTGCAGCTGAATAACACGAGCAAAAATCAGCAGCCTACAGAACAAAAATTAAGTCAAACATTTAGATGTCAAACATTTATTCTGTCTTTTTACAAAGCATTCTGTTGCAGCTGAATAACACGAGCAAAAATCAGCAGCCTACAGAACACTGCAAGAGGAATTTTGCCTATGCTTTAAAAAAAAAATACTACAGCAAAAACAACTAGATTAATATAAATTTCAAATATTAAAGTGTTAAAGACAAGTACACAGTCAGTAATAAGATAGGAACAAACAAATCAATTAGCAATATCATAAATAAATACAACTGAACAAAATTTCAGGTACAGAAACTGTAATTAAAAGTTAAAAAACACTGCATAGTTTTCTTTTCAGAAATAAAATATAGATTAATCAATTAAAGTTATTAAATATATTCAGTCAAGATCAGTGAATGACTTTCTTTTGTTCTTTGATTAACATTAATGACAGGCAGCGCGTTTATTAGGCTGCTGTCTCTTTAACACAGAACGCACGCAGATCTAAAAACACAGTACACGTGCGTTTTCTTTCTCATCTGTTTACGTTCACGTAAGACAAAAACGGCTGTGTTTATGATGATATACTGACATAGTTTTCTGCATATTGGTCGACAAATATGAAAGAAGTCAGTTTCGGATACCCAACCCTATCTAAATCTAAATAAAATCCCATATTTACATCACATAATAATAACTAAATATTGCATTTAACAGTGTTTTAAAAATTATATATATA